TCTCATGGCATCTCCCCTTGATTTCCATACCGTGAAGACGTACAACGCAAACGATTTCGCGAGGCGCACGAGTTCCAACCATTTTGAATAAATATCCAGCGCTCTCTTGTAAGATTTTCATTTATAGATTACATAAGATATCAAATTGAGATGAAAGTCTGCGCACACATCTTTGATGATGCTTTATCTTCTATATACTCTTTTTTTTTTAATATACAACATAGATGAAAAGCAACTATAGAAATATGATCGTGTTGCGTATCTAAAATGTCAAAATGTAGGCGGATCTTGTGGGATATTAATCTTACGACACGACATGACAATGTATTTAATGTAATATTACTGTATTCTGAAACAGATTTAACAAAATGTTCACGAAAACATTAATGATGAGTCTTTAAGGCCACCGTAATGATAGATCGCGTTTTCCTGAAACCATCGACGACGAAAATGTCATATTGCCGCGAAAGACCGATCGCGAGTCACCGCAGACAAATAACTAACAATAAGCGCCGCCGAGGACGACTGCGCTATGATTATTAATTATTATTTCCAGCAGGGACATGCGGCGGTTGCAGTACCGATAGAACGTGTTTAAATTGGGCCTCGCGTGCAATACGTATACTTTGTTACGCAATCGGCTCGCTTATGTCAACGCCAAGTTCAAACCGGGTCAACTCGCTGTCGCTGAAAAGTTTTTACGTTGTTTTTGCTCGATAAAAATAAGCTGATTAATTATTAATAGGTTCATGTATTCTCGGCTTATTTTTCAATGAAGTTTTCAAGGCGTGATTTTATTTCTTTTAGCTCATTTTCATTCTTAATGACATTGCCATAATTGTTGAATAAATAGTCACCACTTTTCAATCCTGTTATGGCATTTGATTAATGCACATGACATAATTATTTTAATTGGCAAATTATCATATTGTTTCAGTTTATTCATGTTTTTGCTCTCAGACCCGCTGTATCCGTCTTTTTGGACATCGGCATTAATATTCGATTTTTAATACGTTATAATATATCTGGAAAGGTAAAATTAATATTCGAAGTGTAAAGGATCTTCTTTTAAAAGTTGAATAAGACGTCAAATACAATATTACGAAAGAAATAATGTCAGACACGCTATGTGAAGCTCACAGCAATGCTTTTATTTACCATGATAGTTAGAAAGTTAGGGAATGTAATATCACGTAATTTGAAGTAGCTAGTGCCTCAAATAATCCGCGACGTAGTTTGCATTGTCTTATTAAACATAATAGTGGATATTAAGATGATATATTAACCTATTTATTATTTCTTAAGACAGCATAGTTTATGTTACGATAGGATGATGTCAATCTAATTAACGATAGCGTGTTATAGATATATACTTTAAAGGAATTTCTTGTCAACATAATTATAAATAACACTAAAACAATGAAAACTGTATTGGTGAAAAAAGACAGTAAAAAGTAAAAATAACAAAATATTGCATATCAGGGAGACTTTATTAGTAAATTCCAGTAAATTATTTTATATGAACTAGTTTAAAAGTAGTTTGCTTCGTAAATTGAAACATTTAAAACTTTTTTAGAAAGATTATTCGATCTCTGTTGTTAATAAAATTAGTTATTTGATTCAATCAACAGAAAAAACAAAAAAAATCGATAAAAATAAGAAATCTTAATTTATTATGCTACTGACACAGTTTACGATAAATTTACATAAAATACGTTCGTAGTTATATCATATAGAAATATTTATAAAAAAATTTTTTTTGCGGAAGCACGAGGTAAAAGTTTATGCAAAAAATAATTCCCTTCCTTGTAAATAAATAATTATTATTTACACTTATGCAATTAACAATTATTATTTTACAATATCATATCGTTTTTACGTTACATTCGCGTATTTGTCATCGAATGCGGCGGAACATTAAACGAGATACACGCCAACGTAGCCAATCGACCATCGCAGCTATTTGCTCTAAACCACACTAATTCCCAACATTTCCCATTGTAATCGACAAAACTGCAGGTTCTACGCACAACCGCGACCTCGGCAATGTCGAACCTTTCGCTGTCGATCTAAACCAACGGCGACGACGTCACGCTCGCTCGAATCGAGCTAAATAAATCGCTGTGGCCAAGTAATAGAGAGTGCATTGCGCTCGCATTGGTAATGACGATATAATATCGTAATATCAAGTTGATTCTGAGAAACAAAGCTGTAATAGAGTTCTCATCGGACGGCAAACCGCACACGGAAAGAGAGACGCGAAAGAAGGAAACGATCGTTGCATTTACAAATTCATCTGTGAGATGATGTGAGCATTGCAGCCACGCTACCTACCAGTAGGCGGATCGAATGGGGTCATCGTTAACTCTCTCGCTCCCAATACACCAGTTACGTCTCGGCGAATTAACATAAGCTCTTGTGCCGGATATTTGAAATCGAGACCGTAAAAAAGAATGGATTGTTCAAAGTGTTCGAATCGATCTTGTGATTTTTAACTTGGGAACGAGAGATCCAAAAATAGATACTTGCGTTTACCTTCGGCTGGAATGAGTGCCCAGCACTCCGGCGCGGAGGATCACCCCGAGGATCAATCCTGTTCGCTCTGCGGGTATCCTTGCTTTATATCCTTGATAAGACGCGTTACTCACTCACTGGACGCTACACACTCGCGATTCTCCCTTTTTCTTTTTCAGTCGTCGCGTTGTCTCCGCTCGCGTCATAGGGGCCTTTTTTGCACGAACGACTTTATCGTCTCGGGGCGAATACGCACTCGCGGACGAAAACCGGATCCGAGGGCCGCGAAGGTATGCGCCGTGTCACAGAAAGTATCCGCTCGAAATCACTGCACTTTGGTGCGCGATCGCTCTCGAAAAGCGACGTGAATACGGTTTGGCTTTCTGGTCGCGTCTGCCTGCACGCGTTTTACTGACAAGCTGAACGATGAGTTCCGGCTAGTTAATGTAGACAACGTTAACAAAGGATGCGGGTAATGACGAGTATCGTCTCATCTTGAGATGCAAAGAATCAAATGCGATAAGTTGTTTTCCGCGTCTCCTCTTAATCTCTCATATCGATCTAATATTTTGCGCCTGACAAACGTGTCTAGATGCGTACGGTTCAAACGAGAATTATCTTGATCATCGTCGATGATACATGGCAGATTAATAGAAACGACTAATAGAAACTGTATAGAGAAAAGTAAATACTGATGATTGTGAGACACCGGGAAACGAAAAAAAATGCAGTTGAAGTCTCGGATACTCATGTTCACGTCACTTTTCATTTGCGCAATCTTGTAACAAAGTGCAGAGAGACTAGGCAATAAGTCATGCTAACTTATTATCTACACCGACTTCTCCGTCCATATTTAGTCCGAACCAGTCACGTGCTAAGGTGATAATTTAATTGTCCGAAACCAATCAATTACGGGAAACGCAATCGAAAATCATCGCGAATTTTTGATCAACTGGCTGGATAAGCGTTGTTTTTTTTTTCTTTTAAGGTGGGCCACTAACCGAATGTCTGCGTTGGTATAATCGCCGTCGCCTGTAGCCACTTTCTAAAGTGAGTACTTACGCACACCGACGTGATACAGATATCCGATGATGCGATCACTTTCAACCGTTTTATAGAACGAACGAAAGACTGGAAATATTATCTGCTTTCAATTGCTCAATATGCTCGAGTTTTCTATTAAAATCGATATTATTGAGATAAAAACGCGTGGGGTGAAAGGTAAAAAGATCGAAAGCGTCCGTCCATGAACGGACTGCGCGTTGGAAAGAAGTATATATTTATTCGCTGTCACACACGTAGAAAAAAAAAAAGAAAGAAAAATAGGTATCTGATTTGCGTTACGCCCAGGCGACCGCATAATTTCTGATCGAGCCGCCAACACACCTCGCGCACATCCTTGACACCATCTGCCTAAAGGATGTGCTAAAGGTCGCCACCGATGTACATCCTGATGTAATACCAGTAGACGTTTAATTTCGCGACAAAAGCGCGCAACGGTTTCCACGAAATGCTCGAAGTGGAGATCGGTGAGCTACGAACTGCGCGCGCGTAAATTTGTTATTTTTACAAGAAACCTTCATCGAGATGTAATGTATTCTACAGTTGACACCATTTCTTCGGCTGGCTACTTCGTAAAAGTGAACTTGAAGATCCTGTTACTAAAAACGGCAAGATGAAAGTACGTAAGAGGAGAGTCGGTCGACGGTCGTCGAGATCCTCGAGGCGAAAACGATCGACTTGATAAGGAGAACAAGACGACGGTCGCGATGTGAAACGACTGATCGGAAATAATGCCGACGATAGCGTGTAGTTTTTTACGTCGAGGATGAACATCCGCTTCAGCAGGAAACGCGCAATCGTTACGTTGCGCGATCACGAAGGCTACAAAAGGTGATAAGTCTGTACCCTAGGTGATAAGTGGACATTAATCGTGCGGTGATATGACGAAGAACGAGTTTGAGAGTTTAACAGAGACACAACGACAAACGTTCTAATCGTGTCCTTGAATGGTTCCGGAGTGATTCTAGTTAACGATAGACGCACTGGCGAATAATCTCTCGGCCTTGACTCTCGAAGAGGCCAAAGCCGCGTCAGCGTCTCGACGATCGACGACCCGCGGAACCGCAACACGATCTGTGCAGCCAGCGCGGACCAACCGATCTATCATGCTTGAATCCTCCACCAAGAGTACCGAGCCGCCATCGATCAAACGTGTCGAAAGGGATCACTGAACTCCGCGTTCGCGCTGCTACGCGCGCGAACCCAACGCGACTTCCCGGTCCTCCCAAATTGGTCCCCGTCGATCCGAACGTTTCTCGAGACGGGGACCGTTGAACCAGGGTGCTCCATACGGTGCGAAAACGATCTCGATTGGAAAGTAGAGCGATTGTACGTTGGCGCGGTTCACCCCAGATGCGATACGGGACAATTTGGAAGGAGATAGATACGAGGACCAGATCGTTTCCGCAAACACCAAGACTTACCCGTCCCCATGGCTGACAGCAGCAGCCTCCTTCCGCCTCAATCCTTCCGCGTATCCAGGATGCAATCTTGGCTGAATTTGTGTTTCACTGCGCGAGGGAAGAAACCGAAAAAAAAAAACGCCGACCACACGATGGGTGATGCGGAAAGGACGACCTCCTCGTCCAGCCGGGAGACCGCGGACGAACTGGTACCCGGAGAAGACTTTTGGTGAGACTCGGACGTGAGACAACGACGACGTCATCACCAGCCTGGTGTCTCATTGGCCGACCGTCCTCTCGGTTCTCGGTTGCTTCGCCTCTCTCTTTCTGAGTGCTCCCTTCCTCTCCTTTTCCTTCTACACGAGAACTCCTCTCTCGTCCGCTTACGTACACGTTCCTCTCCCTCTCTCAGCCCTCCTCCTCCTCTTCCTCCTCCTCCTCCTCCTCCTTCTCACTCTCGCGCTCATTCTCTCACCTGTTCTTTCTCGCGCTCTCGCGTGGCCGCCCGAGATATTTCCGTCTCGCTCTGTTGCACTCCCACGACGGGACTAGACCCAGCGGTAGAGTCACTACGTGCGCGAAGTCAGTGAGCTCAACGCCTGGAACCAATCTTCGGCTTGCACGAAGGTCTGTATAAGGTATATACGCAAGGCACGCGGATAGCCGCGGCTCAAGTGTCTCGCTGGATAGACGATACTGTAGGTAAAGGTCAGTTAGCGTTATCTCGCGAAGGTAGACCCGGCGCTTCATGTATATTTAGAAGGTTAACGGGTTACCGGACTCCAAACCCTTCGGTCGGCTGAATAATTCTACATATACTGTAGCAACCTTAAAATGTTCAAAGTAATAGCGATTAGTGTACTTTAAAGCACGAATACATCAAGGAATCATGCCGTATAAAAACATCCTTGAATCAGTATTATTATTAATTATTGTTAAAGGATGATATTGAAATAGGATATCTAAGAAAATCCAATTAGTCCCTTAAATGTTAAATCACGCAGTCTGATTTTTGTTTCTTAAATTAATTTGCACCCGCTGTATATTTTAATGAAGATGATATCGCAGGATAAAGGATACAATAAGACCAAGAGGTATGGAACGAATTATGAAAGAGTTATTAACTTACGTATTAACAGTTGGATAGCGGCGGACGAACGTTCTTTACAAATGCTATCAGCGACTGCTCTAAAAGAATCGTTGATATTATCTTCAAAGTAACATTCTTCCTGAAAGGGTCGACGATACTGGCTGAACCAGATAATGATTAGATACGAACTGAAGTCCGTTCGCTTGAACATTACAGCTGTATGAAATCTACATTCATCTTTGCATCAAGTATAATTTTCTCATCAGTATGATATTACACACAGGTAATTTAGTTACGGTCCAGTCTTCTGCCACATAAATGCATAAAAACCAACGACTGAAGCAAATTATCAGTGATGGATTGACATAATATAATTAGTGATGTATTAAGTGATATTAATGAGCGTTTTCCAAAAAATACAAAACAGAAATTATCCATTTGAATATGCATTTCAAAGTTGTAGAAAATGATAAATAATGCCGAACCACTGTATATATAAATTCGATATATAAATGTATATCCGTTCGAAAAATCAGTAAATAAAAGACTAGGTTGCAGACAGAATATCGTCGCGGCCTGCAGTAAACAGATCGTTGGTCGGATTCACGGAAGCCAGATCTACTGGGAGTCTCATGGATCGCTGCTCGATGCCTCAAAAGATTGCGCTGTGTATCCATCACGGATCGTTACGCCGATCCGTGGAAAAGAAAAATTCATAGGATCCAGGGAGATGCTAGAAAAATATCTATAATATAAATCCTTACGCATTGCAAATCTGGAGGAATGCCACTGTCTTTGCATCTTATATTTCTCTGTCGGAACCAAAAAAACAAAATTCTAGTAATACTAAAAGACTGTCTTAGGAATTTCTTTCGATTAAACTTTCAATTATAGCATACTGAAAAGATCTAATACACGCTTTTTTAAAAATAATTAAGAAGAAATTAAGATTCTCAGTTTTTTTTAATTTTAAGTTGTATTAACTTTGTTTGGAATAAGAATTTATGAATATCCAATACCATAAAACGAGCAAATAAAATCAGCACTAACACTTCTAATGGATTCAGAATAATTTTTTCATCTTTCGACAAATTTGGAAAACATTTTTGATATTTTGAAAAATATCTTGTCGTTCTCTCCTATTTATTATTTATGCAAAACTTTAATAACAATGATACGCGGATTTCAGTATCGGTTTTAATGACATTGTAGCCCGTTGAATCTGTGAGCGCGATGGTGTCGGTGTCGGTGAACCCGGGACGCCTCGGGGCGTCTCGCAGGCGCGGGTCGCGAGAAGAATTCGCGGTAGACACGCGCAAGTATACACAGTTTACATCATTATGTTTAATTTATCGCGCGCACTTCTACGCACGGTTTGACCGATTCGAGAGTGCGAGAACCTCCGCACGGTCCCCACGGGTGATGTACACGGACAATCGGCGTTATGAATAAACATCCGCGCGCTGCCACGAAATGGCATTATAAAAATTTCTAATGAACGCACTGAATAACTTGTCGTGCGAAGATAAACAGGCGCTTCCTAAAAATCTGCAACGTGCCGCGCAATGTGGATTCCGTGACTGAAGAAAACGCCTCGAGGAACGGGTTAATTTCTAACGAGGACAAACGCTTCTGGCACTTTGTTTTGCACTGAGAAAACAAAGGCAGTAGTGGTTGAATATATTAAAAAAAAAGAAAATATTTTTCTAATTTTTCGCTCTCTTTACAGATTAAATTTCATCTCAAATTTTATGTTAAAAATTAGCTTTGCGCGAAAGAATATATAAGTGTATATAAATAATTGTAGAAAATTCGAGTCATACTAAAAGTTTCTTTGCTGACTCACTTCCATTCTCTTCAACCAGTATTTTTTACGTTCCTAATCATCGTGAAGCAGTTATTATTATGCTCACTCATCATCTCTGAGGCGCGATTATTCTTATAAATTAATTGCGTTCAAAAAGTCGTCTGCGTTGATCGACGCCGCTTTTTTGTACTGTATTCACGCATTAATGGTCCCGTCCATTATTAAAACTTACAGCGATCACAAACACAGACAAAATAATGAATATGAAAGGTATCATACTTTTCCATCTTTCATTACAGTTTGCAATACTTAAATATCAATATTTTATTATAATATAATTGTTCATTTAC